TTTATATGCGCTGAGTGGAAACTCTTCATATATTTCTCTATGGTAATGAACAAACCTGCATACAGACAGTTAATATCAAGTTCAGCCTTACCGTAAATATGATTTCAGATAACTTTAAAAAAATAATAATTTAAGCGATGAGTCCGACCTATGGAATCACGTTTACGTTGATAATCTTATCTGACATAACGAATTAAAAAATAATTATACGTTAAAGAATGTGTATTAAACTCCCTTTTTTGTTCAACAGAGCTAAAAAATATAATTTATATTATCTTTAAAATATTTAACAAAAACTGATTAGTTTATAACGGATAATGCTAAACCAGTGTGAAAAGTTAAATTTTCTCCCATTTCTCTCATAGCTGAAATTCTCTTTTTACTTGTACAAATTTAAGGACCTTGTTCTGTTATTGTAAGAGAGAGACACGAACAAACACTCCCTTTTGTTTAATGTAGGTTATATGCATCTTAGTTGGCGATTTTATTTGATTTTTATGTCGTTATTAGATTAAATTTCTTCCAAAAATTCGTTTCTCATAATGCATATAGAATCTGGAAGAACTTTGCTTCAAATTAAATAGACTATGTTGAGCCACACTGTTTCAGTAGTCCTCTTCAAGAGATTAAACTCCAACATATTTTGAACTAATTACGCTTTATATAAGAAACTTTTCTTTATTTAGTAAGTGCAGGTAATTAGAATAAAGTGTAAGCTTTTATTCCACTAAATTGAGGTTTAGAACGAGGTCTTTATCATCAAATTTCGTAATTTTCGAGATGCTAAAATCTTTCTTGGACATTGAACTTTCTTGTTAATATAATAAACTTTAAAAAAAATCATGTGAAACAATTTATATTTTATTGACTTAGAAAATATCAGTTAAATGTTTTATTTTTAAAGTAAACTACATAAATATTATTTTGCTTACTGCTGTTTATTTAGAAACAGGTTTCTGAATGCTTTTTGCTTATTTATTTTTGAAGTTTATAAAGGGATTTTGTGTAATAACTCTCTTGTCTAGTCACTCTTTGCTGTCTTACAACGCTATATTTGGAGATTGCTTAAAATGATAGTATAAAAGTTAATAAACTCTAAATATTAACATTAATTATATCAGAAAAACTACTCAATTTAGAAAAATTATACAAAACTAATAAATTATATCATGAAAAAATATAATTCCTTTTTCATTTTTCTCATCTTTCTAGATCAAACATAATACCAGCATCATCAAATATTTTGACATTGTAATAGAAACAATCAGTGGAATCTCTTAAGTTAGTTTAAAATTCTTGGTGATTCTCACTTTGATTATACTTCAAATTAATTCTTAGCAGTAATGGAAGGTGTGTTAGAAACATAACATGCCTTGCATACTAAGAAAAGCTTATAATTTAGGAAACGTAGTAAAGCATCATTTTGTTCTAGTCCATAAAGGATACGAAAGTTCGAATTTCAAACCTGTGCTGCCGTACAAAAATATTATGTTATATTATATTTTTAAATGATTACTTATCTTTATAAAGTAATACGCGATGTAGTAATTAATTTATATTAATTCATTACTATTTGGGGAAAGTTATTAACAATGAGCCACTTCAAAATGTTTTTAAAAACATTAAAATTTGACAATTTTATAGTTTAGTATCTGTAAATATATATATTCATTTCTGTATTACGCATACATAGTTACAATTATAAAATGTTAAATGAATATTGAAAATTTAAAAATATGTGCAATTCCCTAAATATAAGAAACTTGTCGCTTTCACTGGACCAGAGAACTTCTATAAAGGAGTCAGTAGTTATTTACGTAGTAAAATATTTATAATTATCATTAGCATGATTCCTAAATTCAAAATGCTAATTAAAAAATCCACGCACCACATAAAGTACTTAAAGGCAAATTATGGCGTACAGTATCAATCCAGAATGAATAAATTGAATCATTGTCTAGTTATATATTCAACTAACCCTTATATGTCTTCCATAAAACAAATTCAACGGTATTTTAATGTATAACTTAAAAAGATTGCAAGATATAAGCCTCGATATGATTACCATTATCGAGACATCAACCCATTAATATCAACTCAAGATGGCGCGGTCGATGCATAATATGTTCGCATGTTTGATCATAACAAAGTTTACAAACAAAATGGAAGGAGGATTGTAATCAGAGTTTGTTTTTTTTTCTTGGCGGAAGATGTGTATTGTGCTTTAACATGGCTCAATGAAGGTTACAAGCTGTCGGTACATTATATGTCCGCGAGTTTGGTTGTAACAAAGTATACTAATGGAATGGAAGAAGGATTCTAATCAGAGTTTATTCTTTTCCTTGACAGAAGACGTGTTTTGTGTTTCTTTTAACAATTCAAGATGCCTCAATGAAGACTACTAGCTGTCGGTGCATAATATGTCCGCGATTTTGGTTATAACAAAGTATACTAATGGAATGGAAGGAGGATCCTAATCAGAGTTTATTCCTTTCCTTGACAGAAGACGTGCATTGTGTTTCTTTTAACAATTTAAGATTCCTCAGTGAAGACTACTAGCTGTGGGTGCATAATATGTTCGCGAGTTTGGTAGTAACAAAGTATACTAATGGAATGGAAGGATGATTCTAATCAGATCGAGTTTCTAATCGAGTTAGGTAGCAACAAAGTATACTAATGGAATGGAAGGAGGATTCTAATCAGAGTTTATTCTTTTTCTTGACAGAAGACGTGATTTGTGCTTCTTTTAACAATTCAAGATTCCTCAATGAAGACTACTAGCTGTTGGTGCATAATATGTTCGCGAGTTTGGTAGTAACAAAGTATACTAATAGGATGGAAGGGGGATTCTAATCAGAGTTTATTCTTTTCCTTGACGGAAGACGTGTATTGTGTTTCTTTTAACAATTCAAGATGCCTCAATGAAGACTACTAGCTGTCGGTGAACAATATATCCCTTAGTTTGAATTTAAGGAACAGACGGGGGGGGATGTTATTCGAAGAAGTTAACTGTTTTTCGCTTGAAAAAAGTTATAAGTGTTTTATTTGATGAATATGGCCTTTGATAAAGATTAATATGTTGTCTTTATTAAGAGCCGGTTATGCAGATTTAAATTCAAATGGCATAAACTGAAGTTTTATTTAAAAGTCGCAGAGTCTTCTGGATGCAGGGTCTAGAGGTATTGTGAAAGATATTACAATAAAAATACATTTAAAATTATTTTGACAAAATAAGAGTATTTCAGATTGAACAGTCTCTTTTCTAAATGTTTATTTCTGAAGAGGTATTGTATAGATTTTTAACATCATTTCACCGGTAGCGTTAAACAACAGATCAATGAAACAAGCATCTTTAATGGATCATTCACTTCATTACATTCACTTGAGCAAAAGCCAGTACCCTTTTTTTATTAGGTACGATAATCTTCGTATATAGGGGTGGGGGATACGAAACATAGTATCAATTGAATTGAAATACTTCTCTTATCAAGAGAAATATATGAGCACAGATACAGATAAAATTGAAGCATTACATGACAAAACTTAAATGAAATCAAAAAGTTATTTTTTTTTCTCAATGACAAACTTTTTAACGTAATTGACCGAAAGACATTTAATTAAAAACAGTAATTTCACAAAAATATTTAGTAACAATTTATATTGGTGTGAAAAACAAATTTCAAAAAATATAAGTTATATGTATTTACTTATAATTATACTTAAATAAAATATTGAATATTAATAATTAGGCAAAAAGTAGAAAACGAAACAACGTCACGAGCATTTTAGCAAATAATTAAAAAAAAAATCTTATAAGTAAAATATATTGTTTTTAATTTAACATCATTCATATATTTTAACAATTGCTATTGGAAATATATGGAATGATAAGTTACAATCTGCAATATAAACAATAGTGTATGCTTTCTTAAAATAAAACATATGTATTGAATAGCACAGTTCAATTAAAAGAATAACAACAGACTTCTGACTCTTAATTTTTTTTGTTTTGTGATTCGCAGTACATTTTGATCTAGCAAAAATATTTTTGCTTATACAACTAAAAGATTACTAACAGCAAATAAGTTTTTTTTATACATTTGATCGTATAATTAATAATTTAAAAAAAGTTTATGAGGTAGGAAGCTAATTGTAATTACGAAACCTTTAACGCTAAAACTTAATAAATTTTAAAAAAATAATATCAATTGAACTATTTTTGAGAAATAATAGTTTAAAAATTTTTGTAACTTGATTTTAATGTTCCGTTGCTTTAAATTGTACAGTTCAGTTTTACAGATGTGTCATGAATACATCCAGCATTCCTGTCTGGCCAGTCTTGAGAATGGGCACCTATATTTGAGTACTCAAAAGCTTCCCATTTTTTACACCTCAGTAATTTTTGAAGTGAATTGAATTTTTGCATGATCAAGTATCATCTATGAATAAGCATTTTAACAGGTTTTCATTTCAGAAAACAAGAAAAACAAAAAAACAAATAAAATAAATCATTAAAATCATGAAGGGTTAAAAAATTAAAATTTTTTTACCCTTCAGATAGATAGAAAGTACGTTTCTGGGTCTGTTTGCGCAATTTTAATAATAATTGAAATTCCTAATTTGAATAAATTATGCTTAGTCTTCAAATTACAAGTACAGCAGCTTAAAACATAAAAAATCGGTTATTTAAAAAATTATTTATAGTAAATAAAAGTTTTCAAATGAAGCAAATGATAAATAAATTTGATTGCTGAAGCAATCAGAAGTATTAAAAAATATATAAATTTAATGATCCAATTTCGGTTCTCTTTTATCTGGGTTTATAATGTGAAAGATAATTGCAATTAACGGAAAGCATTACACAAATACAGTAATTGACACATAAAAATTAAAATGTATAAAATTATAAAATTTATTTAAAATTTAATAAAATTATAAAGTTTTTAATATAATGAAGTTTAATTGTGGCAATAATAAATTAAATAAGGAAATATTCTTACCTGGTAAAAATAATAGAACTGAATTCCATCATCATAAAACGTATCATTGAATGACGAAAAGTTATAAAGTCCGGTCAAATTTTCCAAAATATTTTCGAAAGATTCGTCAAAAAAGCTATCCATACTTCCAATATATGCTAGGGCAATCAAATTCTCACTTTCAATATACCATATATCTTATGAAAAAAATTTATTTCAAGAAATATTTATTTTTAAAAAAATTGCTTAATGATGAACTAAGACATATTCTTTACTTATAAGGTAAATCAGTAAAAATTATAAATAAACTTTCTTATTTAATTTATAAATGTTTATTTCTAATTACTATTCTCTCTAAAAGTTAAAAAGAAATATTTTATAATTTATAAAAATTATCTATTTACTCTATAACGAATTGTCTTTCGAAGATAATTGGTAATTTTATAAATAATATGCATTTTGATTTTAAAAAAAAGTTTATTTCATTTTGACAGTTTATTTTGTCTTATTTATTAAATTATCAACTATCATGATCAGTTCTAGAAGAAGAAAAAAAATTTGCTCAACAATCACTTTTGTTAATAGCTGATTATTAATTAGTGTCAATTTAATTATTTTTTTGTTACTTTCAACTCCAAAATATATAGCAGAAATATTTAGCCGCAATTTTATTGAAAAAGTGATTTTAAACTATGCACAACATCTGGAATAATGGGATATTTTTTTTAATATTTTTACGCTTATTTTTAATAAAATTCTATGTAAAATAAATATTAACATAGAATATGAAATAATAATAAAAAATTAGTTTATATTTTAACTTATTCAGAAACAATGGAGCGTAAGGTTTTAAAAGAAATAAAATAGGTGATGCATCAAGAACTTCTGTCCTAAACGGAAACAGCTTTCACTTTGAAATTCATAAGAGTTACAGAGCGAACTGAGAGCCCGCGCATCTTCTTCGATGATTTTGGAAAAGATGATGTTGTTACTATAGAAACGCGAATGTTGTCACGATCTCAAAGCATCCGATTCGTTGTGTTAGAAACTCCCTTTTGTGACGTAAATCACGTCACACTAGTTTTGTTTTCAAACAGATTGTGTATTTCAAACTTAATTTTTTTCCCCTTACTATTGTTGGAGTATATATAGATATTTTTATTGGTGCAATTTTTGAATGTGACTGAAGATATTTGTTTTCTTTATAGGTATAGTATTTCCTTAGGTATAGGGCTAACAATGTTTTGTTTTGCGTCCAAAAAACGACTTTCTTCTTTTTGTACTTTTATTACCTTACATGGAATAGTAAGAATTGTAAAAAAAATCTGTGTTCTCTTTCAAATATGTCAATATATCCACCATTCCGTTAACGTTATTTAAATATTGGAATTTTCATCTCTGAAAATCTATTGATAACGATATAAAATTGAATTTGTAATAATGACAAGAATTAAAACGCTTCTATACGACGCATAAAAAGTCTTTTAAAACTTAATGACGTTTCTGGTAAATAATCACAATTCTGGTAAAGCAGACCAAAGCATACGGTTACACGGTCATTTAATAATTTTCCGTTCATAGGGTAACGGTTTACTGGAAATCCTAGTTTTTCAAAATCATAGTTCTTATTACCTCACATTTAGTACAAAAATTAAGAACTGAAACGTCAATTTAACCGAATAAATGGCATTTATGCCATGCTCTAAGGTTTCACGATAAATTGCCACATTTTATCACAGTTAGCAAGTACTTATCTCTTATAAAACCATATTTTACTGTTTATAAATCCATGTTTTTTGCTTTACCGAATTGCTACTGTAAAAATTACCTAGTCACATTTACAAGTTATTTTTATATTAACTACCATTTTTCAACTCATATAGAAATTACGATTTTTGTTTTTGATCATAGGATGTTAACAGTTTGAATTTTTATATATATGGTAAAAACATAATTGAAAAAAGAAGCTCTCTATATCGATGGAACTGGTATAATAATAAATATAACAAATCTAGCTGTAAATACGGGAAAATAAAAACGCATGGGTGCTCTCGAAAAATTTAAATTTATTGACAGTGAAAAGTGCATTATATATATGTTATGGTTATAGTGATAAATCTGTTATTATTAATACAAACCGGTCAAAATTAATAATTACCGCCTCTTTTGGTAAAAATGAGAAATATCGCAAATTATTCATTTAACTGGTTATTATTGATAATAACTAATAAAGTTTGATCAATGTGATTAAACGGTTTAACCAGTCAAAATTAATAATAACCACAACTTCTGATCAAAGGGAGAAATAAAAACTCAAAAGAATGACATAGACCAAACTCCATTGATATTATTAATAATATGTTATGAAATCGCTTAAATTATTCACTATAACCGGCTTATGTTGTTAATATTAATATTGTACGGTTAATTTTAATGATAACCAACTATTCACATTAACCGTAACATATATAGAATTATTTAGTTCCAAACTATAAAAGTTGCCATTATGGAAGAAAAAAAATTTCCTCAATGTATGAATAATTAGCATTTCTAAATATCTAAAAGTAGTTAAAAATACAGGAATATACAACTTTTCTAGAAATAACTATAACAAATTCTAGGCTTGAATATTGTAAGCAGATCTAATTTTGCATCGACTTCAAAACAGATTTATAAAAAATATCTCGGGTGGAGAAATTGATCATGGATCAAAGTTCGTTAACAGACGAATTAAATGTGGGAAGTTAGTACCATTTTCATTAAATATACAATGTGATTCTAATTAAAATTACGATTTCAAAAATCGATAATTTAAAAACTACTCGTCTGAAGGACCTGATAATTTATCAGAGCAATCGGGAGGCAAAGGAATTTTGTTTGGCGAAGGAAAAATTTAGTTCCAAAGTCTACCGATAAACGGCGCTATCAAGGTTCACATTGTCCATACAATGTCACATTGTCCATTGCCTATCAAGGTCCATAAAAATGCAGAGCATCAGCTCTTTGCCTGAATGTTTCATCATGACTCTGACAATGAAGGGTCACGCTCTGCTTTTGTAGCTTTTTATAAGAACGATGAGTGTTCATTTGCAGCTATTAGGAAGTTTCAGACATTAAAATTCATAACCAACCAATTCATTCCAACAACCACAAATGGTCTGAGAAAAATGACTACTAAATTCGAAGAGACCGGTTCATTTGACGTGAAACGTGGTAGAGGAAGGAAACCAGTTTCGACCAGATGTGGCTACAGCATTATAAGAAGAGACGAATAGTGATGCTGAAATCAGCGATGATTGTGGAATTGGCTGAATGCTGGGTAAGTCAATCAGCACGGTGAGTAAAGCTCTACGAAACATCTTGAGCAGTTACCCGTACAAGATAACTAACGATTGTTTTCCCGGATGGAGGTGGACAAAAAAGGCCCATGGAACATTCTATGGTCTGACGAAGCCCTCATCCATTTGCAAGGTTCTGTAAATACGCAAAATTGCAGGATATGGGTAACCTAGAAAACGTTTTAGCTACAGCCATTACCTCTTCACTCTGAAAAGGTCACTGTGCGGTACGGAATAACGGCAGCGTTTATCGTCCTTCCGTTTTTCGTCGAGGAGATCTCACCTGCGGGTCTTGTTATCTGCCCCGTTACTGGCAAGCTGTATGAAGCACTTTCGAGTAACCATGTCCTTCCGGCATTTCAAAAGCGTCAGTGTGTGGATCGCGGTATTCATGCAAGATGGCGCTCCTCCGCACATTGCACTGCTGAGTGCTCATTTAAGAGATGAGAGGATCATAAGCTGCCCTTCTCCAATAGCGTGGTAGCCACTCCCCCCCCCCCAAACTTAAACCCGTGTGATTTCTGGCTTTGCGTTTACCTGAAGAATGTTGTTTACAGCCGGTGGATTGATAATCTACCAGACTTGAAGACAAGCTTTCCACACCATATCCTTTGCATCAGTACAGATACACTCCGATCTGTAAAGCCGTTTGCTCTTCCAATTAGTAGCGGAAGACAGTGGAGGACAAATCGAACAACTTATGCCTTAATCATCAGTAAGATGTTTGTTCCACGGAACTTTTTTTTTAGCATTATCTCTGTTGTCTCTGTAAACACACATTATTGACCTTTCGCTAATAAATGTTTAGTAAACTCTTACACTCTATTGTTTCCTTTTGGCTAACAACATTACCGTGTATAGCGATTTCCTTTTTGGTTTTTAACTTGACATTACCCAGACAGAGACATCTATCGGCAGGTTTTGGAGCTATTTTTTCCTTAGTCAAGCAACTTCCATTGCCTCATGATTGTTCTGCTAAATTGTTAGGTCATTCTGAGGAGTAGTTTTAAAATTCTCGATTTTTGAAAAATCGTAACTTTAATTATAATCACCCTACTATATAAACGTGTTCAATTTATTCAAAATGAAAGGAAGGTTGACCCAATGCAGGAACCAGAATTTCTGACTCGCGGGTGGAGATCAAAGTTATAATTCTAGGAAGTTGACCATAAAGTGCCGATCCATAGATTGTTCTATCGTTCGATATCATTAATGCAATATTAAAATAATATGAACGGATCAATCACCAAGTAACAAACCATCACGTTTATAATCATTTTTAATATTTTTCTTTTCAACTTTTAGAGCGTCCCGCAGTGGACTGATCGCTAAGACACGGTTCCCAGCAGATCACCGAAGTCAAGCATCACTGGCTGCGGTCAGTGTGCGGGTGGGTGACCACTTGGATCAGTCTGCGTAGGGACCGAGGGTGAGCGGTATTGGTCCTCGTTAAACTGTGCTACCGTAAAGTGCTCGACTTCGCGCGCAGGTCGTCGGGCTACCGAAGCGGGGGTGGCATCCCCTCCGCAGAGGATCAAAATTGTGATGGCATGTCTTCGGATCATCCTCCGGGATGTTTCCTAAACCGTCGCCAATAGCTCATTGTGCAGCTCTAGTGCGACGTAAATTAACAACAACAACAACTTTTAGAGCAGAAAACGAAATTTGAAGAAATCTCAATAGTACTTTAAATTCCAGAGTTAGGATTGCGTGCAGATTTGTGTTTTATAGCAGTCCATAAAAAAGGATAAATGCGAAGTAATTTTATTATTTTAATAATACGGCATTCCTTTTTTTAAAACATGCAAAATGTATCTGGCTCTATAGCAACACTAAAAATCTCAATAATTTTGATTGAAGCGTTCTGTAATGATTTCAGTAAAACAAACAACACAATATGGTTTCATAACAAGTGAAAAAGTTTGGGAAATGAATTAAAATTTATTAACTTTATCATGATTCTTCAAATAAAACCATGATATCATGGCATAAAAGCCTTTTATTTGTTCAAATTTACTTTTCCGTTTTGTATTTTTTTCTAAATGCGTCGTTATAGGAGTTAGTATAATTAGATAGGAGTGTGATTTGATTTAATGTTTTAATTTTTCGATATGTTTACTTACCTTTAATGTTTCAATTTGGCCTTTGCAATTTGAATTTATTTTTGATTAGGTTATAGGAGCTATAATTCTTAAAAACAGAGTTTTCAGTAAATCGTGCTGGTAAAACTACCAAATTAATGTTTGAAATGCTTGATATTTAAGTTTTTAGAAACAGGAATTGTTTTGTTTTTAACCAAAAATATCATTATCATAAAGTACGGTAATTTTACCAGATTTTTTTTATGTGTACTAATTTAAATATTAAAACACTTTATTTCGCTAATTTTGT